CTCCAGTCTGGACAACAGAGTGAGACTCCGACTCAAAAAAAAAATACTGGCAATTACTATGACATTTTACATATAACAAGAACGCTTCTTATCCAGAGCCACTACATTCCTTAATATTTGTTATTAAATGTTATTTTTAACTCTCTCTCATGACCTCTTTCATATGATACTGTGTGTTATGATAGCATTAATTCAAATACTATCCATTTCAGTTCCTCAAGAACTTTTTCAGGATTAAACTGAAATTAATGATAGTAAAAAAGCAAATACAAATTCACAGGTCAAGGGCAAAGAGATTACTGGGGGTTGGGGATCACTTCAGGAATGCACTTCAGGAATACAGTTTTCCCTGAAAAAGTCTGTAAACTAAAACCTTGTTAAAATAACGCTCTCAAAAGATGAACAAATTCAATTTACTTTCTTTACTCCACTTGATTTTCTTATAAAAGGTAAATCAACCTAAGTATTTTTGCAGAGATATACCTCATTTCCAAAGTTCACCTCTTCTCCTAAATTACACATTCCCAGAAACTATGTGTAAATGATGTTTGATGAATGAGGAAGAAATGTTTTGTAAAAAGATCTAAATTAAGTATGCCTACGAAGTAGCTTTTCACCAGATACCCAGCATGTTACATTGCCCTCAACAGATACCAAAGCTAAGGAAAATGTCTTTCACCTTTCTGCCACTGGGCACGGATCTTTTTGCAGTAGACAGAATAGCAGCGATCTAATGCACTGAGGTAGCACTGTATGGAGAGTTTTCCATCCACTATGGGATATTCAGAGAGCATATCAGGCTTGTAAAAGTCATAGGCATGTTGCATGTGTGTCCCACGAAGCCCTACGAGAACAAAAAGGAAGATATCTATGCACTTCGGCTTCTTGATATTTGTATGTTAGTTAAGTATACTGCATTATCCAAAAACTTTCCTTAACCATCTAATCAATTCTCACCACTTGCAGTACAGAAATCACAAGGTGAAGCCAATATAACTGAAATGAAACAGTATCCATACACGGTCCTAAGAGCCCTTTGATACAGGTATACAACTTTCTATGTAAATTTCATAAACCTAAGTGGGAGATCATAGTTGCTCCACTGAACTGAAGACAAACTTGTCAGTGACTTGAGTAAGTTACTATTTAGGTTATTACTTAAATCCTACTTTAATTCATTTTACTTCTATTTAAAAGTGGAGATGATACCACCTACTTTATAAAATTGCTGTAAAGATTAAAAACACACACAAAACATTTCGCAGGTAATACCTGCATTTAATGAATACTCAGTAAAGGGTAGCTCCTATTTCTGTTTTCAAATTTTTCCCTCTATTGTGTAATTTTTAAAAAGACGCTTTCCCAAGTACTTACCTCGTTCAAAAATTAAAGGAGCATTTGGCCCAATGAGCAGAGCTACGGCTCCAACTCCACCTGTAGGTCTAGCATTTCCTGTAGCATATACAGCAATATCTCCTGCAACTACCAGGGCATACCGTCCTGAAAAATATTTTAAATTATTTCACAAGAAGGTGGCCAACACTGTAAACACCACACATGTAAACTAGAAGTTCATTTTATTTTCCCCAGAATATACTTTCCCATGTTTGATAAAGAAAGAAAATATTCTGATTAAGTTTTGAATAGAACATTTGTCCTATGGGACAACCAATTCATAATACAGATAAGTTGAAAGACATAGCTATCTTTCTGAATATATTCAAACAAGTATGCATAGCAAAAATTTGCATACTGCATTAATTAAAAGGTCACTTGGATCTACTCATTCTGAAAAAGAGATTTTTGTAGGGGAACAGAGACATGTAACATACCATCCCAAGAGCTGGACTCAATCCAGTTAACAGCATTGAAGACAGCTGCTGTGCCTCCATAGCAAGCATTAGTTGTGTCGATCCCTTCTATATCTGTATTGCCAGACTCCTCAAACAGCTGCATCAAATTTGTCTTCACCGACTTTGATTTGTCGATGATTGTCTCTGTTCCAACTTCTAGCCGCCCAATGCAATCATAGGAAAGATTATTTCTCTCCATAAGATTCTGAACCACAGTCATGCAAAGAGAGTTGATATCTTCTCTATCTGTACAGAAGCCCATCTTGGCCTGGCCCAAGCCAATGGTATACTTTCCAGCATCTACACCATCATATTTTTCCAACTCTGCTTGATCAACATATTGAGAAGGAAAATAGATTTCAAGGGCAACAATTCCCACATCTTTTGGCCAGCAAGCTTCTGCATTCAAAGGAAGTGACCCGGGCATGGTGAGAGAGCTTTAGAAAGAAAAAACAACAACAACAAAAATCACCACTTTAGGTTATAAGTTTGATTTTCAAGTTCAAAACTGAGAAACAGATATTAAGGAGTTTGGCAATCTGAAATATTAGTTTCTCTACCTGTAGTAAAGCAATCAATTGTAAATATGTGAAGTAGCAATCATATGAATAGGATACTATCATTTAAAAGTACACTCTTTTAGAAGGACTTCCACTTTATTACAAAACTGGGCATCTTTAGTTTTAAAACATGATTATTACAGGTAAACAACACTCATAAAATTATTCTATATTGTAAAGAACACTAAGATAAAATACAATGAACAATTTAGAAATATGGCTGGCAAAGCAGAATTCAATCATCTGACTTATTCCTGACCACTCAAAAAATCATTCATTCATTATAGATATATTGATTATTCACAGATATTGACTTTATGGGACTTCAAAATCATTTGGATCAAATAATATTGCATTCTTCATTGATCTAAACAATCTCAGCAAGTAGAAAAGCCATAATATAGAGGTCGACTAGGACACTCTACACAAAGCCCCTGCTATTATAATCCTATTTTTCCAAAGAACCCACAAAGAACACCAATGATTAAAGTTTTGGTGCAAACAGCCTCGTAAGAGCATTATGTCAGGGACAAACTCTCACATTTCAGTAATCACCCTAAATGTGAATGGACTAAATGCACCACTGAAAAGACATAGAATGGCAAACTGGATGAAAACACATGACCCAGTAATTTGCTACCTCCGGGAAACTCATCTCACCACAAAGGATGCCCACAGACTCAAAGTTAGAGAATGGAAAACAAATTTTCAGGTGAATGGATTGCAAAAGAAGGCAGGACTCACGATCCTAATATCAGACAAAACAGCCATTAAGTTATCAAAAAATAAAGCTTTGTGCAGACACATTCCAGGACCTATCAGAGTCAAACATCAATATTCTATACTTTCTAACAGCTAGTATGCAGGCAAAAAATGATCACAAAACTACAAGATATCACTTATTAAATCAGGGAAACAAATCTGATCATCTGAAAAGTGGTAAGTCAGTTTTTATATTATTTGTGTGGCAACTAACTTTTAGATACCTCTCAAAACCACTCCTCTTTTTAAATAAAGGCACTAAGAAGTTGGACTGTTGCCACACTATGAAGACTTTCAGTGGTATCTAGATTTACTTACCAACAGTAACAAAAAATATTAGCCACTTAAGACCATGGTTATATGTCCATGGGCAAGGCACTTAACCTATCAAAGCTTCGCTTTCTTTAAAGATTACATTTGTTAGGAAAAGATATTTCAAACAGTGAAAGGGTTAATACACAGAAATGGTTACAAGCTTGTTGGCTGGTAGTTATTCACATCCCATGACACCATGTTCCTGCTGAAGCTGCTGCAATTACCAGTATTGGTACTTCTGCTTCTGAGCAGCTCAGAAACCCAAATTCCCACTGTTGCAGCTGCCACTGACATGAACAGGATAGTTACCTCCTTCCCACCTTCTAATCTTTTTTGAGTACTTCCATCAGCATTCTACACAGAACCCAGCTGGCACAAGAGTCAGTGAAATGTTGTTGTCAGGCTTTGAAGAGTGGCTCAACCCCTCAGTTTCAGAGAAAAAAAAAATCCTTTCCATACCTAAAATTCTACAACTCAATTTCCTTGCCAACATAATTGGATGGTACTATTTAGGTGGCAGAATTTCAGCTTTTCATTGACCCGAAGGTCTTGGTTTATGAAAGTTACCTGGGACACACTGATTTCACTACACTTCTGTATTTGCCAACACCACTAATTTGACACCTAAATATGCAAAGTAAAACCCTAGATTTATGTCATTTCTCCTCTGCCACTGTACAAACTCTGATATAGTATTTGGTAATTATAGATCATTGCCACAGTGAGTTGTTAATTATTAAAAACTTGAAAGAATATCAAAAGTAGAAAGGCTCTGTCCTTATACTCATCCTTACAGCCTGTGCATAGGTTATCAAGGTACCAATACAGTTAAGTCCTCACTTAATGTTGTCAGTAGGTTCTTGGAAACTGACTTTAAGCAAAACGACATATAACAAAACCTATTATTCTCCTCATCACATTATAATGAAATGAAGTTGAATGAAATGCTACTCAAGGAACTGCACAGTTTCATTCAAAGTCACATTTGAAATACGTTTAATAGGAGACCTCCTTGCCCTCAACTATCCTCTACCTTGTGAGATAGTAAGATACAAGCACATAATAATAAACAGTTAACAACACAGTCACATAATATTATGGAGAACTTTTTAACCCAGCATGACAGTAGGGTAAAAAATGTAAGGAAAGATTTCCTGTTACAGGTGCCTGACTTGAGCCTTGGGAATGGAGAGGAGTAATCAGTAAAGCGCTATAAAAACAGATCGTAGTGGAAGAAGATTTAGAACAGAGTGAACAGCATGAACAAAGGTACACTACAAAAAACTATGCAAATTTTGTTAATTTACTGGAATGAAACATGAGCCCCAGTGAGTGGACCAGGCAAATAATAAGTCAAGAAAGTAGATAAGGGACAGATCGTGAAGGTTCTGGTATGCAGATGATGGAAGCTTCAATTTTATCATGAAGACAATAAGAAGCCATTACAGAGCTTCAAAAAGGAATAATATGATCATGTTAGTTGTCAGATCAGTGTTTTTCCAACACTGGAAAACGTTTTTTAAAAATTTAGTAGATGGCAAACATTTTTTTAAAATGAAACAGAAAAGAACTGAAACTATCACATTGCATGGATGTAAGGGTATTTTTATCAAACTTTAGTAGTCATTTGTTGTTGAGTCAGTCTCACTCTGGCACCCAAGCTGGAGTGCAGTGGCATAATCATGGTTTCACTGCAGACTCCAATTCCTGGGCTCAAATAATTTTCCCACCTCGATCTCCCAATTATAGGTATGAGCAACCCGTACCCAGCCTCATCAAACTTTTGTTTCAATTACTCAAATATATACTGGGTTGCAATATAAAGTATATTTCTTACTGGTGGCAAAGTCAAAAAAGTTTGAGAGCCACTGTTTTACAGTTACTGGTGTTGTGTAGAGAATGGATTTGAGCTCTCCTTCTCCATTAGGAAGTTGACACAGCAGTCCAGATAAGACATAGATCATGAACTAAAGCAATCGCTATAGGTGGATGAAAAGGAACAGCTTCAAAAAATATAAAACAAAAACTTGGCAGAAATTGTATTGACTAGATGTTAGGGGAAAAAGGAGATGTTCAGCTTGACTGAGATTTCTAACCTCAACTGTTTTATGATTTGACAGGCACATTGTCAGATACACTAAGAACAGAGAAGTACCTCTCCACTTTGTTCTACTCTGTTTCTTCCACACAAACCACATTTCCTTCTGTCCTTCTCCCTGGAAAATGGGGTTCAGCCAAACCAGCACTCACAACTACCCTAAGGAAACTGCCTTTGTTCCTGTCAATTCACCAACTCCTACATCCATTCTTCAGTCAGTCCTTCTTATCTACTTCTATCCTATATGTGACTTTACACAGATTCTTAAGTTTTGTTTTTGTCTACACTAGAAAAGACAGAGTTACACTAAAGTCAACAAACAAGGATAAATGCTAAATGTTACCCAGTCTTTCCCCATCCTACAACTGTTTGCCCACATAATCTTCCCTCTACTCTCAAATTATTCTATTCATTATCCCGAAACATTTCTTCAACCTCTTGCTTATTTGAAAAGGATCGCTTATTCGAATCCTTTATAACCCTCGATCATACAGATCACATTTCACCCATGAAACCTTTCTAATACATTAACCTGAGAGTATTCTTATCCTCCTCCAAATTCACGACACCTCTCACTGGAAAATTATTGATTACCTTTGGCATTTCCTGCCTATCCTTCTATACTACCATATTTTATCAATTAAAAGGTACCCTTTTAAAAAACATTTCTGAAATCAGGATTCCTCTTACAATTGCTATCAGACAGAAGGCAGATATGATGCTGTCATTGCTTACACATGTACCAATAACAAAACTGCCAGGATCAACGCTTGCAGGGAACAGTTAACAGCCTGAAAGAAATTCCCAGAAACAATACTGGGAATACAGGAACACCCTTTTCACCCCCAAGAATAAGATGGACTGGGGAGAGAGTAGAAAGTGGTGAATCCCTAAACAGGAGTCAAAATTAGGCTGACTTCGCACAATTTCAAAGCCAAAGGCCAGCACCAAAGCCTTTTTGTTCTTTTATGAACTTGTCAAAGGAATGCTATATCCCCAATACACACAGAGGATTTATATAGAAAATTACAAATCTCAAAAGATCTAAAAATCAACTTTCCATATAACTCTGCAATGCCCCTACTGGGAATATACCCGGGAGAACTCAAATCACTCTATAAAAAAGGATACCTGCACACGTATGTTTATTATAGCATTGTTCACCATAGCAAAAACATGGAACCAACCATGCTGCCCATTAAAGAGGACTGGATTTTAAAAATGTGGTACATATACACGATGGAATATTATGCAGCATAAAGAAGAACAAAATCATGAACTTTACAACAACCTGGATGGACTTAGAGTCTATAATACTGAGTGATCTTTCACAGAAACAAAGAACTGAGTATCACATGTTCTCACTCATAAGTGGACCTTGAACAATTATCGTAATACTGTAAGAAAAAGATTGGCAGTAGCAGGAAACTACTGGGAGGGGAGCGGGGAAGCAGGATTGGCAGTAGTGGGAGTCTGCCTGGGGAAGAGGGGCCACACCTCATCAACAAGGGTACCTGCATCATGAACATTTATATACCTAACCCTGAGTTGTACCCCACATCTTTAAGATAAAAAAATTAAAAGTTAAAAAAAAGAAAATTACAGATATTAACAACTAAGTCAAAAAACAATTCAGAAGACTAAACATGAAAAATTTAGCAATTCCTTAGTGTGTCTTTTTACTTGCATTTTCCTTCTTATT